GAGGGCTTAATCCTTATTTTGGGGGAATAAAATTCTCGTCCTGGTGGTGACAAGGACCTGCAGTTTAATGACACTGGTGTAGTGATAGGCTGTAAACCACCCCCTCCTCCTGTAGCCTGTCTAAAACTGTGTATGGTGATACTTAAGTTAAGAGTGTTGACACTGGGCGGGTCAGCTGGTGCACAACCAGGCAGGCCAGCTGGTGCAGCCCAGCAGGTCAGCTGTGCACCCCAGGCAGTCAGCTGGTTGCACACCAGGCAGGCCAGCTGTGCACACACAGCAGGTCAGCTGGTGCCACACCAGGCAGGTCAGCTTGGTGCACAGGCCAGGCAGGTCGAGCTAGTGAACAACCAGCGAGCGTCAGCTAGTGACCACCAGGAGGTCAATAAGGCAATCAACTACACACTTATTTAATCGCGTAAAACAAAAAATTATGCTTCCTACCAACAAGTTGCAAGAGAAGTTTATACAGGCGAGTGAAGAGTTTATACAGGCGAGTGAAAAGTTTAATACAGCGAGTGAAGAAAGTTTATACAGGGCGAGTGAAAGTTTATACAGGCGAGTGAAGATTTTATACAGGCGAGTGAAGATTTTTATACAGGCGAGTGAAGAGTTTATACAGGCGAGTGAAAGTTTATACAGGCGAGTGAAGAGTTTATACAGGCGAGTGAAGAGTTTAATACAGGCGAGTGAAGAGTTTATACAGGCGAGTGAAGAGTTTTATACAGGCGAGTGAAGAGTTTATACAGGCGAGTGTAAGAGTTTATATCAGGCGAGTGAAGAGTTTATACAGGCGAGTGAAGAGTTTATACAGGCGAGTGAAGAGTTTATACAGGCGAGTGAAGAGTTTATACAGGCGAGTGAAGAGTTTATACAGGCGAGTGAAGAGTTTATACAGGCGAGTGAAGAGTTTATACAGGCGAGTGAAGAGTTTATACAGGCGAGTGAAGAGTTTATTATACAGGCGAGTGAAGAGTTTACACAGGCGAGTGAAGAGTTTATACAGGCGAGTGAAGAGTTTATATAGGCGAGTGAAGAGTTTACACAGGCGAGTGAAGAGTTTATACAGGCGAGTGAAAAGTTTATATAGGCGAGTGAAGAGTTTATACAGGCGAGTGAAGAGTTTATACAGGCGAGTGAAGAGTTTATACAGGCGAGTGAAGAGTTTATGCAGGCGAATAAAGAGTTTATACAAGTGGGTTACGAGTATACAGGTGGGTTAAGAGTTTATACATTTGCGTTACGAGTTACTACGAGCTAAGAGTGTATACAGGTGAGCTACGAGTTTATACAGGTGGGTTATGAGTGTATACAGGTGAGTTATGAGTGTATACAGGTGAGTTATGAGTGTATACAGGGGAGTTATGAGTGTATACAGGTGGGTTATGAGTGAATACAGGTGGGTTATGAGTGTATACAGGTGGGTTATGAGTGTATACAGGTGGGTTATGAGTGTATACAGGTGAGTTATGAGTGTATACAGGTGAGTTATGAGTGTATACAGGGGAGTTATGAGTGTATACAGGTGGGTTATGAGTGAATACAGGTGGGTTATGAGTGTATACAGGTGGGTTATGAGTGCATACAGGTGGGTTATGAGTATACAGGTGGGTTATGAGTGCATACAGGTGAGTTATGAGTGTATACAGGTGAGTTATGAGTGTATACAGGTAAGTTATGAGTGTATACAGGTAAGTTATGAGTGTATACAGGTGAGTTATGAGTGTATACAGGTAAGTTATGAGTGTATACAGGTAAGTTATGAGTGTATACAGGTGAGCTACGAGTTTATAAAGGTGGGTTATGAGTGAATACAGGGGAGTTATGAGTGTATACAGGTGAGTTATGAGTGTATACAGGGGAGTTATGAGTGTATACAGGGGAGTTATGAGGGGTTACAGGTGAGGTTATGAGTGTTACAGGGGGTTATGAGTGTAATACAGGTGAGTTTATGAGTGTATACAGGTGAGTTATGAGTGTATACAGGTGAGTTATGAGTGTATACAGGTGAGTTATGAGTGTATACAGGTGAGTTATGAGTGTCTACAGGTGAGTTATGAGTGTCTACAGGGGAGTTATGAGTGTCTACAGGTGAGTTATAAGTGTATACAGGTGAGTTATAAGTGTATACAGGTGAGTTATGAGTGTATACAGGTGGAGTTATGAGTGTATACAGGGGGAGTTATGAGTGTATACAGGTGAGTTATGAGTGTATACAGGTGAGTTATGAGTGTATACAGGTGGTTATGAGTGTATACAGGTGAGTTATGAGTGTATACAGGTGAGTTATGAGTGTATACAGGTGAGTTATGAGTGTATACAGGTAAGTTATGAGTGTATACAGGTAAGTTATGAGTGTATACAGGTGAGCTACGAGTTTATAAAGGTGGGTTATGAGTGAATACAGGCGAGTTACAAGAGTAAACAGGTGATTTAAGAGTGTATACAGGTGACTTACGAGTTTGTATTGAAGAAGTAGTTAGTTACAAGAAATTTCTTGTAGAGGACGATCTTATAGACACGTTGTAGAGACAGCTGGGTGTCCGAAGACTCACAAATATTAACGTAAGATAAAGCCACATAACAGAAAACCAGTTCAGTGTTCTTTTACAACCCTAAAATTTTTAACATGATTTGATTTTTATGTGATGAATTTTAAGGATGACCAAGAAAGTACTTGTAAACAGGAAGATACGCTTGTTAACACAGGTGAGGGGTGATTGTCCCATGTATGGGAATTAAGACTTCCGTTACTTGTCAATAACTCAGTAGGTTTGTAACACAGGGATTTCCCTTCCCTGAAACTGTTGTTGGTTGTCATTTATAAGCTTGCTCCTTTCTAGGTGTTCCACCCTCTACCTAACAATCTTCTTATGGCTTTACATATGTAACGTTCAGTTGACCAATGGTCTGTAGGTTTAATGTATCGTGTATAGTATCCTTTCTTAAATATTGCGGGACTACATTTGCCATCTGCCATTACTCTGGAAGTCGCCCAGTTTCATGTGTTAAGATTTTTGTTAGTGGCACACACAGCGTCTCTGCTCCTCTCTAAAGGAACCACTGAGAGTGTCTGAGGTCCCACCACCTTTTGAGGTATCTAAGTTCACATGACAGCTTCTTCATTTCCTCGGTTGGTTGCGTTATTTCATCGCACTTTTTTGGTGTTTTCTCTTTTTGATGTACCTCGTCTATGTATGACTTCCTGGAGTTCTCCCTGTCTCCACTATAAATACTTCTTGATAATTCTCATGTTGAGCTCTAACATACTTCTTGGTCGTTTCTTTTGAATCCTCACTTCGTTCCTCGCTTGATTACTGGTCCTAGTCTGTTATTTTCCTCCTGTTGTGGCTATACCCAGCAGCTTCGAGTCGACTTTGACTTTCGATGCTATGTCATTTTCGTATTGTCGCTGGGGCCTCACTATTTCTGTGCATAATTCGTTTCTGTGTTTCATCGATTAATCTCTTAATTTTCCTTGTCTCCATTTGTCTTCTGTTACTTTTTCATTCTTAACACAGAGTGTGGGGTGATTGTCCCATGTTTGGGAATTAAGATATGGGGTGGGTAGTTTAATTCGGACATGGCTAGGTAATTATCACGAGGGTGTGAAATTGGACGCAAACGAAAGTTCTTAATGCAAGCGAAGCATATATTGTTAATCGGCAAAAAAGATAGGGATTCAGTAAACACAGTAGAGGAGCTTAAGTAACAGAGTGGAAAGAACGTAATTATTATAACTAAGCGCTAAAACCCAAAGAGTCATTACATAACGGAGGCAATAAATATGTATTTAATGTAATATTTAGGCAATTAACATGGAACTGACACGAAATGTTTTAAAGGTGACCAGTGGTTTTACAATGTGACTAGTGTTAACAGGAGGTAATCAGTGATTACTAAGGTGACCCATTGATAGCATAAAGTGACCAGTGGTTATTAACGTGACCAATGCTTCATTAAATGCTTTCTGATGTCAAAAAACAAATTTCCGATTTTTTACACTCGAGTAAGCGCTTAAGCCTGTGGGGTCATACAGCCTCTGGGAACGAGAATAATCAACTTTGATCCGAGGAGGAGGAGTAGGAGGGGGGAACATAACTCCAGTTGTATGGAACAAGAGCTATTCACCAGTGTCAAGGAAAACGATCCTCCCCCCCACCATCCCTCTTGCAGGGCTGTCCTCGGCAATTATATACCTAAGCCCATTTACTACAGGAGAGGGATCTACACAGGGAAGGATGAGGTTATTACGAACAGACGCAGTGCTAGGGTCACTACGTCACTATTTTCACTCCCAGTACAATCATGGGGTCAGTCTCAGCTTCTGTCGTAACGACAACGTTTCTCTGTGTGGAGCTCCACTCAGAGCGAAACATCGCGATATTAAAAGTTGGTGCTACACATTAAGATTCCATATTTCAGCACGATACACAGTTTGTACTGAGATGAGTAACAGTTACGTGTTGCATGCAGAAAACTTCTAGTATGTAGAGTATTACAAGCATATATCTCCTTCAGCGCTGCCGTCAGTGTCAATGTCCAACTCCGAGATATATAACAAGGGAGATAATTATCACACGTGGGACTACAAGTAGCACGCAACATTAATAATTATCACACGTAAGGAATGTGGGTAACATTGTTGATGTGGGTAACATTGATGATGTATGTATACATATTTTATTGACGTATCTATATTACCACATGTTTGCCAGGATTTTAGTTTCCTTATTGTTGACATCTGTTCTGAGTATTTCCTTGTATTTTAAATATGTTCTTGTGATTCTTTCGCGCGCACTATGTTCAATAATTTTGTTGTGTGTTTTTTAATCCATGTTTTATCACCGTATCACATTTATACGACAAATATGAATCGTCTTTAATAATTTCACTTTCAAAATTTATACACTTGCTAGCTTTAAATTTTATAATGAGAAATACTTCAAAAACATGTTAAAGCGTTCCAAACGAAAACACATTAGCGATTACACACTCACGTTTTACGGCTATTTGGAGTTTTCTATTTGTTTTCCCGACTCCTCGTTGTATTATAGTTTTACAGAGGAGGACACGTAACTGCGTAGTGGAAGAGATAAATGAGGAAAAAAAAAAGGTGAGAGAGATGTGAGCAGGCGGTTTGTAGCAGTGCTAGGAACACAGTGTTCTCACTCACTGTGGAATTTTGTGAAAATACCACAAGTCCGGATGATCACCTGCCGCCCCTACCACACACACAATGTTAACCACATATATATACTCGTTAACTCGTCTTCATTCTGCTATTCTACAAGGTTCTGTTGACACGAAACAGTGTTATAGAAATTTTCATATGTTCTGTCTTAGCTGCCATTTGAGAGATTGGGGTTGTCGTATATTTAAGACTGAGAAAATATGTTGGTGGATAACAGGTGGCTCCTGGGTTCGCTACGGCACTGTGGTGTTGTGTTGGAATACTTTATAGTAGTCACTGTATATCACTTATATGTATATACTCATTATTTTAACAAACTGTTTGTCTTTCGGAAGTGTACTGTTTTTATTTACGTTGTTCCAAACCTCAGGGATATCACTTATGGTGTATAAGAGGATATGTAAGGAGGAAGGGAGCGAGGTAGAAACATTAACCTGGTGTTACAGGAAACGCAAGCCACAACACCTCGGTTGAAATAAATTATATATATTAACACAGTTTTCTTACTTCGTTTAGTTATTCCTTACCGGAGCAAGCGAGTTGATTCATTTAAGGTTCGTGGCATTATTATTCATTTTATATACATGACTTAGTTTACCTCCTTATTATACATACCAGTCGTTAAGGCATAGATAGGTTAACACATATCTCGGAGCTAAAGCAGATTTAGGTACACATACACTTGCTATGCCACAATTGTATCAGTTACTACACGGAGGATCCACTTATAAACACCTTAGTTATGTTAGTTTTATATGTCTTATTATGCACATCTGTGGGACGTTAGTGTGTCAGGTTGCAGGTCGATGTGAACCTTGGACCTGACTGGCTTAGGCCAGTTAGTAGGTGACTCGGACATGCTTAGCTTGGGCCAGTAGGGACAACAGCCAGTGCTCCTTTCTTACGTTCTTAGTTTCTTTATTTGAATGTTTCACTCACGGCCTGAGCGTCACTCGGAGCTGAGTTTCCACTCAGAGCTGAGCTTCACTCAGAGCTGTGTTTCACTCAGGAAGCTTGAGCTTCTCACGGTGTGAGTTTCACTCAGGAGCTGAGGACTTCACGCGGAGCTGAGTTTCACTCAGAGCTGAGCTTCACTCGGAGCTGAGTTTCACCGGTGTGTGCTTCACTCAGAGCTGAGTTTCAATCTGAGCTGAGTTTCACTCAGGCCTAAGTTTCACTACGGACCTGTGTGTCATTCAGTGATGAGCTTCACTCGGAGCTGAATTTTCACTAAGAGCCTGAGATTCACTCGGAGCTCAGAGTTTCACTCGGAGTTGTGAGCTTCACTAAGAGGTTGGTTGCATCAGAGCTGGAGTTCACTCAGTCCTGAGTGTCTCCTCAGTCCTGAGGTTTCACTCGGAGCTGAGTTCACTCAGAGCTGAGTTTCATCAGACCTGAGTTTCTCTCAGACCTGAGTTTCACTTCAGAACCTGAGTGTCCTCAGGAGCTGAGTTTCACTCGGAGGCTGAGTCTTCACTCAGAGGTGAGTTTTCACTCGGAAGCTGGGGCTTCACTTGGATCTGGGTTCACTCGGTGCTGGGCTTCACTCAGAGCTGATGTTTGCACTCGGTGCTGAGGTTTTCACTCGGAAGCTGGGTCTTCACTCAGAGCTGAGGTTCACTCAGAGCTGAGTTTCACTCGGAGCTGAGCTTCACTCAGAGCTGAGTTTCACTCAGAGCTGAGTTTCACTCAGAGCTGAGTTTCACTCAGAGCTGAGTTTCACTCGGAGCTGAGTTTCACTCAAAGCTGAGTTTCACTCGGAACTGGGCTTCACTCAGAGCTGAGTTTCACTCGGAGATGAGTTTCACTCAGAGCTTGAGTTTCACTCAGAGCTGCGTTTCACTCGTAGCTGAGTTTCACTCAGATGCCGAGGGCTTCACTCCGGAGCTGAGCTTCACTCGAGTCTGAGTTTCACTCAGAGCTGTCGTTTCACTCTGAGCTGAGTTTCACTCGGTGCTAGAGCTTCACTCAGAGCCGAGTTTCTCTCAGAGCTGAGACTTCCACGCAGAGCTGAGCTTCACTCAGAGCTGAGTTTCCTCAGAGCTGAGTTTCACTACAGAGCTGAGTTTCCACCAGAGCTGGTTTCACTCAGAGCTGAGCTTCACTCAGAGCTGAGTTCACTCAGAGCTGAGTTTCACTCAGAGCTGAGTTTCACTCAGAGCTGAGTTTCACTCAGACCTAAGTTTCACTCAGACCTGGTTTCACTCAGGCTGAGTTCATCGGAGCTGAGTTTCCACTCAGAGATGTAGCTTCACCTCGAGATGAGTTTCACTCGGAGCTGAGCTTCACTCAGAGCTGTGTATCACCAGAGCTGAGTTTCACTCAGACTTGAGTTTCACCTCAGAACTGAGTTTCTCTCGGAGGTTGAGCTTACTCAGTGGCTGAGTTTCACTCAGACTGAGTGTCAATCAGAGCTGAGCTTCACTCAGAGTGAGATTTCACTCAGAGCTGAGTTTCACTCAGAGCTGAGTTTCACTCAGAGCTGAGTTTCACTCAGACCTGAGTTTCACTCAGAGCTGAGTATCACTCAGAGCTGGAGTTTACTACTCGAGCTGAGTTTCACTCAGTCCTGGAGTTTCACTCAGAGCTGGGCTTCACTCGGAGCTGAGTTTCACTCAGAGCTGGGCTTCACTCGGAGCTGAGTTTCACTCGGAGCTGAGCTTCACTCAGAGCTGTAGTTTCACTCAGTGTGAGTCTTCACTCAGACCTGAGTTTCACTCGGAGCTGAGCTTCACTCAGAGCTGAGTTTCACTCAGACCTGAGTTTCACTCAGACCTGAGTTTCACTCAGACCTGAGTTTCACTCAGAACTGAGTTTCACTCGGAGTGAGTTTCTCTAGAGGAGAGTTTCACTCGTAGTCTGGGCTTCCTTGGAGCTGGGCTTCCACTCGGAAGCTGGTGCTTCACTCTGAAGCTGTGTTTCACTCGGAGCTGAGTTCACTCGGAGCTGGGTTCACTCAGTGCTGAAGTTTCACTCAGAGCTGAGTTTTCAATCAGAGCTGAGCTTCACTCGGAGCTGAGCTTCACTCAGAGCTGAGCTTCACTCGGAGCTGAGCTTCACTCGGAGCTGAGCTTCACTCAGAGCTGAGGTTCACTCAGAGCTGAGTTTCACTCGGAGCTGAGCTTCACTCAGAGCTGTTAGTTTCACTCATGCCTGATGTTTCACTCAGAGTGGAGTTTCCCCACTCAAGCTGAGTTTCAACTCGGAGCGAGTTTCACTCTGAGATGAGTTTCACCTCGGAACTGGTCTTCACCTCGGCTGAGTTCACTCGGAGCTGAGTTTCACTCGGTGCTGGGCTTCACTCAGAGCTGAGTTTCACCTCAAAGCTGAGTTTCACCTCAGAGCTGGTTTCATCGGAGCTGAGTTTCACTCTAAAGTGAGTTTCACTCGGAAAACTTGGCTTCACTCAGAGCTGAAGTTTCACTCGGAGCTGAGTTTTCACTCGGAGCTGAGTTTCTCTCAGAGCTGAGTTTCACTAGTAGCTGTGTTTCCACTCAGAGCCGAGCTTCAATGCGGGCTGAGCTTCACTCAGAGCTGAGTTTCATCTGAGCTGAGTTTCACTCAGAGCTGAGTTTCAATCGGAAAGCTGAGCTTCACTAGAGCAGAGTTTCATCAGAGCTGAGCTCACTCAGAGCTGAGCTTCACTCAGAGCTGGAGTTTCAGTCTCAGAGCTGAGTTTCATCAGTGCTGAGTTTCACTCAGGAGCTGAGTTTCACTCAGAGCTGAGTATCACTCAGAGCTTGAGTTTCACTTCAGACCTATGTTTCACTCAGACCTGAGTTTACTCAGAGCTGTGCTTCACTCGGAGTGTGATTCACTCAGAGCTGAGCTTCACACTCGGAGCTGAGTTTCACTAGGGCTGGCTTCACTCAGAGCTGAGTTTCACTCAGAGCTGAGTTTTTCACTCAGACCTGAGTTTACACTCTCAGGACCTGTGTTTCACTCGGAGCTGTGCTTCACTCAGAGCTGGAGTTACACTTGTCCTGAGTTTCACTTCAGACATGAGCTTTTCAATCAGATCTGAGTTTCACTCGGAGCTGGTTTCACTCAGAGCTGAGTTTCACTCGTTGCTGAGTTTTCACTCCTGAGCCGTGCTTACTCCGGAGTGAGCTTCACTACTGAGCCTGCGTTTCACTCAGAAAGCTGAGTTTCACTCAGAGCTGTGTTTCACTCTAGAGCTGAGTTTTCACCTCGGAGCTGATGCTTCAACTTCAGGCGAGTTTTATCAGAGCCTGAGCTTCACTTCAGTGCTGAGCTCACTCAGGAGCTGAGTTTCACTCATAGCTGAGGTTTCATCAGAGCTGAGTTTCACTCGAGCTGAGTTTCACTCAGACCTGAGTTTCCACTTCGAGCTGAGTATCACTCAGAGCTGAGTTTCACTCAGAGCTGAGTTTCACTCAGACCTGAGTTTCACTCAGAGCTGAGCTTCACTCGGAGCTGAGTTTCACTCAGAGCTGAGGGCTATTCACTCGGAGTGAGTTTCACTCGGAGCTGAGTTCACTCAGAGCTGAGTTTCACTCAGAGCTGAGTTTTCACTCAGACCCTGTGTTTCACTCGGAGCTGAGCTTCACTTCAGAGCTGAGTTTCACTCAGACTGAGTTTCACTCAAGACCTGAGTTTCACTCAGAGCTGGTTTCCACACCCCCCCCCCCACCCCCCCCCCCCCCGGAGCTGAGTTTTCATCAGAGGTGGAGTTTCACTCGGAGCTCTGAGTTTTCATCAGAGCTGGGCTTCAATCGGAGCTGGGCTTCACTCGGGAGCTGGCTTCACTTCTGAGCTGAGTTTCATCGGCGCTGAGTTTCACTCGGAGCTGGGTGCCTTCACTTAGAGCTGAGATTTCACTCAGAGCTGAAGTTTCTCTCCAGAGCTGATTTTCACTATGACCTGAGTTTCACTCAGAGCTGAGATTCACTCGG